AGGGGGCCCGTCACTCTGCCTCCCTGGAATGGGGGACAGTCTTCCTTGGCCAAACACCCATGACCCTTGACAGGGGCTGCTCCCCGTGGCTCCCGGGCACCGTGACAAGCACAGGCCCGGGCCCACGATGGCCCCACAGAGGGGCGTCAGCTGACACGAGGCTCAGCCCAGTGCCGGAGCTGCGCCTGCGACTTGGTCTCCTGAACTCCGGCTGGAGACCAGAGCGGTCAGGTTCCCCGCTGCGCCGCCCCCTTCAACAGGATAACGCACGAGGAAAGGACTAAGAGCTGTGTATGTCATTGTCTTGTGTATTGACCAGGCAGGACGGCGGTCCAGGGGCCCTTGACCAGGGGCCCATGGTAATGGCCGCCTCTGGACGGGTATGCTGTGCACACCTCGACACATGGCAGGGTGAACGTGCAGGTGCTCGGAGACCTGTGGAGGCCCCTGGAGGCCACAGCCGGTGCCAGCCCCGTGCATGCTCGGCAGCCAGGCCTGCAGCTGGCTGACGACTTCCCTCCCTCTTACCACGAAGGCATACGGAAGACCGGGCCTGGTGGTGAGGGCCCCGGAGGTGAGATTAATTCACGGGCAGGCAGGGGAGGCCGTGCTGCCTCCAGACAGGGAGCTGAGGAATGAGCCTCGGCCAGTCCAGCCCCATCGGAGAACGTACAGTCGCCTCTGGGGGGCGATGAGCTGCCAAGTCGGTTGGAACAGTCTGTGCCCATCTTTTTTTTTTTTGTTCCCCCTCTGCATCTTCTAGCCTTTCTTTTGGAGCGGTCAGAACACTATGTTTTCAAGTGCTGCCCAAGGAAATTCTTCCAGTGTTTCTGGAGAGGCAGGCCTGGCCGGGCCTGGGAGTGTGGCTGGCGCTGGGATGCCCTTTGAAATGCCTCTGCGCCTTTCAGCTGCCCCGGCCCCTCCCCGTGGAGCCCCGCTCCCTCAGTCAGACTTACTCTGACTGCATTTGGGGGTGCGTTAGCCCTGCCCCTGCGGGAGGCCTTCTCTGACCAGCCCTCTCTTCCAGGTGCTCAGAGAGGCAGGTCCGTGACCCCCCGTGGACGGACACGTCCTGTGCCCGGGAGTGCCGGCCCCACCAGGGTGAGCTCCCTGAAGACAGGACGCCCACACCTCTTCTTTCCTCCATGTGACTGAGTGAGCACAGGCTGGGCACACGGTGCATGTGCTGGAGGGCTGGGAGTGGGGTGCTCAGCAAATGAGCTCAGATGAGAGCAGGAGTGAGTGCTTCCAGCTTGGACAAGCTGAGGTCAGGGCAGCAACAAAGGTGAAAGCACAAGGAGGCTTCTTCCCCAGGGTCCACCCGGCAGGGCACATGCACATTCCTGACAGTTGCTTCCCCAGCCTCCCTGCCGCCCTTTGCCCTTCGGAGTGAGGTATCCCTGAGGACACAGGTGCTCAAGTAGACCTGAAGTACGCAGGTAGCGGGGGCCATGTGGAGGAGCCAGTCTGGGTCCGAGGCCCCACTTCAAATCCTCTGGACCAGCTCAGAAGCTGAGGAAGCTCTGGAATGTCGGCAGGCTAATGCCAGGCTCTCTCTGTCCCCTTGCAGGCTGAGTGAGCCCAGTGTGGTTTCATTGTTGGCTCTTGTCCTTAAAACGCCAAGACCCAGTGAAGTGAGTACGGTCTTGGTGGTCACACTGGACCTCTGCTCTGAAAGGAGCAGCCATGAGGGCCACCTTGCCCAGCCACGAGGGACTGTCACGCTGGGCCCTCGACCCACTTCCCAGCCCCCTTTCCAGCCACAGCCCCCATCCCGGCCACTTCAGCCACCACAGCTTCAGGCTCCAGCCCCACAGCTAGCTGGTGCGGCCAAGATTGCCCTGTTAGCTGCTGGCAGATTCCGGGGGTGACCAGCCAAGCAGTCTCCAGCAGGCTGTCCAGGCTGGGGTGCGGGTGATGTGGGGAGGAAGTCAGGGGCATGACAACTCACATTTGAACCCAGAGCAGAGATCTCTGACCTCTGATGTCACCTCCCAGGCAGCCTCAGTGTCTGTAACAGAGGACTTCAGGGTGTCACCCTCATCTACTCGTCAACTCAACAACAAAGCAAGCAACTGGTTAAAAATGGGCAGAAGACCCGAATAGACATTTTTTCCAAAGAAGACACACAGATGGCCAACAGGCACATCAAAAGCTGTTCATCATCACTTATTATGAGGGAAATGCAAATCAAACCCACAACAAGGTATCACCTCCCACCTGTTAGAATGGCTGTTATCGAAAAGACAAAAAAATAACAAATGTTGGTGACGATCTGGCCAAAAGGGAACACTTGCACACTGTCGGTGGGATGTAGTGTTACCACCACCAAGCAGAGCAGGATGGAGATCTCCCCCTAAATTAAGAACAGAAATTCCACATGACCCAGCTATTCCACTTCTGAGTATTTACCTGAAGATCATGAAAACACTAATATGAAAAGACATGTAGCCCCACATGCACGGCAGCCAAAATATGAAAACAACTTAAGTGCCCTTAATGATGAATAAAGAAAATATGATACATGCACGCACACAAGCGCACACCAGTGGAGTTCTACTCAGCCACAAAAAAGACAAAGTCTTGCCATTTCCTGCCATGTAGATGGGTCTTGAGGAGATCATGCTAGGTAAAGGCAGGCAGATGGAGAAAGACAAATGCATATGACTTCACACGTGTATAGAAAGTAAGGAAACAAAGCAAATGAACACAGAAAATTAAAAATATATTATTGGGTATACAAAATAAACTGGTGATCACGGGGAAGGTTGGGCGTTTGGTGAATTAGACAAAGGGGCGGTAGTGTGTAGGGATGAAGGAAACTAGATTAGGCGATGTAGGGTTTCTAAATGTCGAGTGACAATGCTGTATACACTGTAAACACGTTACAAACCAAAGCAGCTGCAGTAAAAATAATTTTTTAAAAAGAAGACACTAAAAAATAATTGGGAGACAGGAACTTGCATTCTCTAATGCTAGGTAAACCTGCCCTTATGTTCTGCGTCTCAGTTCACCCAGGGCTTTTGAAGATCCACAACCAGGTTGATGCAAGACCTTACTCATGGCAGCCGTGGGCCCCGGGCTGACCGACCCATCACCGGTTCTTTGAAAGCCAATGTGCCATTTGCCTCTCACAACTTCCCAGGGGTGCAGGCAGGGATTCAGTAACATCTGCTTTTATGAGTGAGGGAAATGAAGAGGTCAGGACGGAGACACGGGCCAGCAGCCTGAGGTCCCCCTTACCCAAAGTGTGGTCTCAGTTCCGCAACACCCCTTGGGTCTTTGTTAGAACGTGGAATCAATTCCAAGGCCCCACACTACCGAGCCAGAATCTGCATTTTCCATGAGACGGGGGTGGTGCGTTACGAAGGCAGGATGGAGCTGTGACATGCGGCCTGAGACCCAACTGTCAGCCAGATGGGAGACGGCGCTAGGACCCAAGTCTCCCACACCTGCCCTGCCCTCATGGCCCTGGGGGGCAGAAGTATTTTGAGGAAAAGCCATATTCTGTAATTACAGGGCTTAATACATGACCTAAAAAGACAAATGTTTCAAAATGCTTTTCTGATGATAGGTTTCAGGAAAAATGCCACTGATTCCTTTTCTGGGCACAATTTCTTGAGCAAAAAGCAATCTCCCTGCCTCAGAAAGGCGGTATCCAGTGCCCGTTTCAGATGAACAATATTAAGAGAATAAGCCTCCTGCTTCCCACCATCCCAGGCGCACCGCTGCTTTGAGACTTCTGGCTGTGGGCTTTGATGCAGCGATTTTTTTTTTTTCTTCCAAAAGGCGCACATGATTCAGAGACTTCTCCTGAGACTACTTGACTAGCATCTATGCTATTGCTATTGGTGTAAATCATTATGATGGTGATAATGAAAAATAAAAAAGATATTGGAAATGACAGTTGGCAACATAATATCAGCATAAATGGAGGCGAGGAGAGAGGCGTATATAAATTAGGCGCTCATAAACATCAGGATCGATGAGGCAGCCGTGGCGGGGACGAGGCGATCGCTTAGAGGAGAATTAACGAGTTATTGTTACGAGTAACCATCTTTGCTCGGACAACTCCTCGTTCCTGTGGCTCTGGAGAGAATGCAATGGCTAAAAGCTGGCACCTCCTTCCCCACGGTGGGACCTTCAAACATGGGACAGAGGGGTGGGGAGCTGGCTTGGGTGGGCACCTCCCTCCTCCCAGCGGGCTCCCCTTCTCCGGGGCGCTCCTGATTATTCCGAATCTTGCAGAATTGACTAACTCAACCAGCTCTCCCTTCACAGCATGAAATGTGTTCATCAGTGACCCAAGCTGATGAATGAATCCTACTTGTGCCTGGAGCCAGATCCAGCAGCCAGACTTGCAAAGAAGAAAGATGGATGTGCTCTCTCTATTTGGCTGCCAAAAATGCTCTAGCAATTTGCTTTCTTCTAGACAAGAGTCTATTCAAAAGTCTATTTGGAAACATTAGGGAACGGCCGTCACGTGGCCAGCAGATCACACTGTTTGTGACAGGATATTATCTTCCCGGGAAAGACTCCACTGCTCTTTTATTTCACCGAGTAAGTAGCGTCTGGGCTGATGGCTGCAGAATTGCTCCGGGGCTGGGGACATTAAACTGCCCGTCCAGAGCGAAGGCGGAACCAGAAGCCATGCCGGCAAGCGGGAGCCGTGGGACCTTCCCGGCGCTGGTGTGAACACCAGGCTCGTTCTCCCCATCAGTGGTGGGGCTCAAGGGGCTTCTGCTAATCCCAGGGAATCTCTGCCCCGGAAGCCACATAGTAGCTGATTTCCTCTTTTGGGGCTCCTCTCCCACACATCAGGACTCTGTGCCCCCTTTTTCCTTCCAAGCAATCCTGGTCAGGCTCCGGGTAAACACCTGCCCGGCTCTTCCCTGGCCAAGTCACATCGGATTCACTGGCTGTTTCCTGCCTTGTGATGCCTGGCTCTGGGCAAGATCCTAAAAGCCGGCAAGGATCGCCCTATCCTTGGGGCTGCCTTCAGGGGAAGCAGGGAGTCAGAAAACCAGAAGCCATGGGACTCGGGGACACAGGCGGGAGGGGGCGGCGGGCCGGCTGCCGCGGGCAGGGAACGCAGAGTGGCCGCGGGCCCCAGCCCAGCCCGGCTTCCCGGGGCTCCATTCATTTCCAAAGACAGTTTACACTCGAGCCAGGGCGGTGTGAGGGCCAAGGAAGGGGGCCCTCAGGTTGAGCCCAGGCACCTCTCATGCTGGGCCACCCCGGACTCACCCGGAGGCTGGACCACGCCTCTGCTTAACTGAGTGAGACACCAGAAAGGCCTTTGCTTTGGCTTTGGGAACCCAGGGCCCACAATGTCCCCTGGGGCCTCCTCCAGGATCAGGAGGGGAGGGCTGGGAAGTTTAGGGTCACTTGGAAGAGACCTTTGTCCCCTGGCCCCGGACCACTGACCCCTGGTTTTGGCCACTGTCCTGCTGACCTCTCCCCCAGGGCCAGGCTTGTCT